AATTATGAGTAACTAGTTGTCTAATTAATTCTTCTAGACTTCCCTCAGAGGGGAGGTCATATTTTTACATCTTTTGATTTTCTGGGAATGGAGCTAGGAGTGGCCTAGAATCAGCCTGCCTGGACTTTGAATCTAAGGGTTCATGATTCGCATTCCCAACACTGGGTATGCTGTAAAAGTGATGGTCAAATCCCATTATTCTGTCAGATAAGAACACTCAACGGTTTGTGGTGGGTGTGCTGCATACTCTCTAGTTCGTAAGCTCAAAATTATGGACAGTTATTAGCAGATAGACCTTGTGTAGCTTTGCATGAAAGTCCTAAATAAATAAACCCAAGCTGAGATAGTTTGAACATTGAACTAATCATACCATTTCCAAATAGCCTTCAGGAAAATCAGTAATTTAATAACTTGGCATGGCTTATTAGTTAATAGGCCCTAACTATGAATCTGAGAATTCATGGTTTGTGACCATTACTCCAAAAACGCTCTCTGCTCTTTGGGGCCTATGGTTACTGTAAGAGTAACAAGTTATGAGAAGAATGCCCTTGAGTAATTTTGAGAAAAATTCCTAAAAACAGTAAGTAAGCATCTGAATCAGTGTTTGGTCATTGTGTGCAACCTGGGAGGGTCAGGTTCAATTCAGACCTCTTCCTCCTAATTCGAAACATCTTCTAACCTTGGAATTTCCACCTTTGTGTGATATGTGTGTTTGTTATAGCAAGGCCACAATGGGCTATCCACTGTATCCACCAAGAGGAATCGAAGCCCTGATTAAAGTTTTGTAAATCTGAAGACTTACCACTGTCCCACTGGGAGACTGTTTGGTATGTTTTCATGACAAATATGCCACACACACACACACATGATTCTAATGTCACATGTAAGGATCACGCGATCAACTCTTATTAATATAGATTACGTTAATTTCAGTTTCTTATAAGTTTTACTGCTGCAGGATATTCAAGAATGTATAATATTCAGTAAAATGTCATTTTTGCAGGTATTTTAACATCATGCTCCACTTTCAGAAACTCCTGAATGTACAAGAAGTTCTAGACATTTTACCGTTAATAGGATGAATGTACTGCTACTCTATGGAATAGTTTATTATCACTTGTAGGTAGTGTACTGAAGTTTTTAAAAAAATAACATATACCAACCAACTTCCACTGTAGCTTAGGTCAGTTTCAAGCAATAAGAGTCACTTCCACCAAACTAAACATTTCACATCTGATGTAAAGGTCATTTGGTGTTATAAAGTCAAAAGATCAACCAAATACAGACAGTAGAGTTCAATTTCAACTGAATTTCTTTAATCAATAATCTAATAAAGTATTTTTTATAATAATAAAATAGTATTCATAATATAATATACTGATTTACATCCTTATGCGTTTAAGAACAACATAATCTATATGTCAAGGTCATTTGGTGTTATAAGGTCAAAAGATCAACCAAATACAGACAGTAGAATTCAGTTCCAGATGAATTTCTTTAATCAATAATCTAATAATGTATTTGTTATAATAATAGAATTATATTCCTAATATAATATTGTTACGTCTCTGCTCGTTTGTTAATTTTCCGTAGAAAAATTCTTTCCGAAGAACTTCAGCGATACAAGTCCTTTCTTAAATAAAACTAGTTTATTCTTTCTCAATACAACTTTGCAATACACTTAATTTCCACAATCACTTTAACTTAAACACACGCTATAATTCACAACGATTCATGCACTTTATTTACTGTCACTACCGAGCTTGACTCAATTGTCCGTCTCTATCTCTGCCTGTCTGCAATTCAAGTTCCGATTAACTTGTCTCACTTTATCTGGTGCGCTTATATACAGGAATAGAGGGCGTCTAGCGAATACTGGATTATTCGTGATGTTTCCCCGAACCTTCTAGATACTCATTACGTGTTACCAGCGTCACGTGAATTCCGCTGTCGTGACAATATACTGATTCACATCCTTATGTGTTTAAGAATAACATAATCTATACGTCAAGGTCATTTGGTGTTATAAGATCAAAAGATCAACCAAATACAGACAGTAGAATTCTATTCATAATATAATATACTGATTTACATCCTTATGTGTTTAAGAACAACATAATCTATATGCAGTGAGTCAATATTTATCAAAGATGAAACAATTTAAAGCACAAATTAATTATTAACTGGAAAAGGAACTATGGAAACCTTAATAGTTTTAATACATC